GCTCCCTTATAGTCTCCTGAGTTCACAGGTCGACTGGTTTTAACATGAAGGTGGTTTACTATCAAGAGTAGAGAAATGTTGTGGCCCAAACCAAAGGGAGGAAATATTTCTATTTTAACCAAATAATATGTTTTCTGAACTGGTTGTACACTTTTTAAAATTGCATTTTGTGTATTTTAACCACATAATATGTTTTATGAACTGATTTTATATTTTTAAACTGGATTTTGTATATTTTAGCCACAGGATATCTTTTATGAATTGCTTGTATATTTTGAAGTTGCATTTTGTATATTTTAAACATAAATATGTTTTATGAGCTGGTTACCTGACCATGATAAATAAATTCATTGATATATACCTAGCAGGGGGACCGGATTGAAAACTTCACTCTTCTGGTCCTCCTGAAGACTAGGCCTACCTGCCAGCCCTCCCAATTGGTTGAGAGCTGTTGTGCAGGAAAAACAGTCCATGTGATCGCAAGGGAGACCAGGGTGGAGATGGGCAGGGCAAAATGGCATACTGCCCGATCTGCGGTAGCCACTGCCAACCAACACAATCTCCAGGTAAAGCTGGGCTGCTGCTTAAATGTTAATATAACTAATTAGAATACTAGTCCTCTGTGCACATAATGTATTTCTGTTTTCTGAAAAGAATATATTTTAATAATTTTCAGGTCATGAACTTATTATAACATTGTCAGTCAGAAAGTAGATTTTCTACGTTCTTGTACATCCTAGAGCCTTACAGAACAATGACCATTTTAGAAAAGTATACAAACAGGGCTCTCTGGTTCTTCCTGCACATGTACTCCAGTGGTAGGACTCCTGGCCCAGTAAACTAAATCATGTTCTCATTATATATTTTGAGATTTAAATCAGTATTTAAGTGACTAACACTTAATTGCAGTTAAATAGTATGTCTTGAACAAAGGCTCTACGTATATCAGAGATGCATGTGTATTCTAAGTTCTCTGCCCCATATAGGACTTTTTAATCCCATAAACAAAATTCAAATGAATTCCTTTTAGAACTCAGGAACCTCATTCAAATTTCATATTAAATTTATTTTTCTAGGTTCCATTTGAAAAAGAAAATGAAGGTCTGGAGGGACTCATTCCTGGTAGAGAGGGGGTAAGTGGGTCTGTTCCCTTAATCATTGCAGTTGAATCAAGATGCACATTTTAAATGATACACTTTCTCAGAAATAATGTTAATTTTGAGTGGGTTGTTTCGTGCTATGTGTGTGAAATTGCTGTAATAATGAAAAATGTTAACTAATGCTTTCATTTTTATTGTTGGGATTTGTCATTTTCTTTGAAATTGCTGTACAATAATACATAGTTCAGAAAAAAAACATGACAATTAATATAGTTGATTAACATAATAGCTCAAATAATTGTTTATTTCAAGCAAGTCCATTTCCTACTTTATGACATAATTACATTGTAAGAACGTAAGAAGAGCCCTTCTGGATTCTGGAGTTCAGAATAAAAAAAAAATATTTTTGGTCTTACAACTCCAATGATTTTGGGAGTTATTTGTGCTTTATGTATTGCCAAGTCATGGTTGACATACTGTGACATTTAAGAGAGTTTTTGCTGTATGTGAGATATTTAAGGAGTGGATTTATAGGTGCTGCCTATAACCACAATTCATGAGTTTTTTGTGACCAAGTGGGAATTTGAAGTTATTTGTGCTTTATGTATTGCCAAGTCAGTTTACCATCCCTGGAAAGATAGAAGGTTGAGGCAACGTCATGCCTCGCTACAGGAGCCCAGAACGGAGTTATTTGTGCTTTATGTATTGCCAAGTCATGGTTGACATACTGTGACATTTAAGAGAGTTTTTGCTGTATGTGAGATATTTAAGGAGTGGATTTATAGGTGCTGCCTATAACCACAATTCATGAGTTTTTTGTGACCAAGTGGGAATTTGAACCCCCCCCCACACACACACACACAGAGAGAGAGAGAGAGGTTGAGGCAATGTCATGCTACAGGAGCCCAGAATTGAACTCTGGTCTGAGCAGACACTTGATTGCAGTACTGCAGTTTAACCACTGCACCCCAAGGTTCCTCCAGGTCTTTTGAGTCTGTCATTCTACCCAGTACACCACACTGGTTCTTATAATGGAAGTTACTTTTTTTGTAGACCAAAATAGCCAGTATAATTATATAGCCAGGCTTAATCTTTTGGTAACAGGCAAAAATTAATGTCAGGCCTCGATGGAATGACTTAGCATGTCCCACAAAATGCTTGTGCTCCTTTGATCAGGAACCTGCTTTTATATAAGAAATCTAGGAAGTAAAGTTGAAACCTTACAAGTTCACTAAAAGTAGAGCAGACAGTGCCCTCTCCTATGGACACAAATCATTTGAAACTGTGGATGTAGTTTTACTAGAAGTACATTTTAATAGATTTTTTTTCCATTTCAGCAAACTGTTGCACAAACGAGAAAATGAGAAAATGGATGGTCAAGAAGAAAATTTCCTGCCCAAATACCAGCGAGTAAAAGATCTCTGCCAGCGAGCTGAGTATCAGACTGCTTGTGAACAACTTGGGCAGGTGAGGAACCATTTAGATCTCAAGCATAAGTGACTGTAGCAGCATTGTGATGTGATAAACTGGTAGAACATGGGCATGGCTCCCATGTTACCCATCTTCCAGTGATAAGGTGTTTTTAAAGTTTGCTTTCCCTTCAGCTCTTCCAACGGCAACAGAGGCAGCAAATGTAGTACCTATGGCAAAAAGAGGGTGACATTTTCCTTGGAAATGTGATCAAACAATAGGTTTCTTTCTTCCATTTATTTCTCAAGTACATTTCTTTCAGATTCTGTTCCCCTTCAAAAAGTGCCAGTGTGTCAAAATAAGTTCCTAAAATCAGCTGTTGCCGTATGTTTTTAAAAGGTCTTCCATAAACTCTCTGTGAAACTCTTAACACTGCCTGACTGTTCTGCTAGCATATATTGACATTGATGGTATGTCAAAGAAATGAGTCCTGTTAAGGACTAACAAATTTATTGTACCATCCTTTTGTAGACTTAGAATCATAGAATTGTTGGAAGGGACCCTAAGAGTCCTTGTGGCCAACTCCCTGACAAAGCAGGTAAAGTATCCCTGGCAGATTGCCATCCAGATCTCTGTTTGAAAAAATGCAAACACTTGTCAAGCAAATGAAAGAGAGAGAGAGACTGAATGATTTCGTAGTCCCCTTAGTTCCCCTAAATGTAGCTCACCTGGCCTGCAAACTTCAATACATTAAGAGTAGATAGGTGTTTTCCCACCTCCTGTTTAGTTATTTGGAGCAGCAGCATCTCTGTCTAGTCTACGAATGCTTGATAATTGGAGCTACGAAAGCATTCTGGCAAGATCTGGAGGATCAGAAGCAGAGTTTGGGGACTTGTTTGGTTGCTTCTGTTGAGTGCGTGTGGGCCAGAGGATGGACTTTGTGACTGTTGGTGTGTTGGTGATGGTGATTGGGCACAGTTTGGGGCATTTCTTCCTTGTCTATTGTTGGATTGGCTAGACCAGTCAAATTCCATGTGTGAGATCGCCCACGTTAAGAACCACTGGGCTAGACCAGTCAAATTCCATGTGTGATACAGCTTGATTGCCCAGTAAAAGTACCCTAGTTATAAGAGAGTGGCATTCTCATGCTGCCATAATATTCAGTTTTGCTTTTAGGCCTTTCACTTTCATTTTTTGCAACTATTTTTTTCCACCGATATCCATCCTGATGCTTTAAGTTGCTTCTCCTTAAATGGTTACTTTAGCCCCACTTCCCTTGAACATTGCAGGCTATTTAAGGAAAGCATCCTTCCATCTAGCATTACACATGCCCTCTTGCCCATTGTTTTCCCTTTCTCTTTCAAGGATAATAAAATGTTTCTATGATGTCCATGGAAAGTGAATAGCTAGCCATTACTCTAGTAGGCTTACTGCTGGCAAAGAAGAAAAGATAAAAGCACTTGTCATCTTCATGTTTGTTGACAAGGAATGAAAGAATTGTTTGGGATATTTCACTGTGAATTAGATTGGGCACTCCAGCTTTGGATGAAATGGAACAGCAAAGACATCAAGAGAGACCTGCATCAATCAAGTTGATTACAGTCTGGGCTGATTTCCAAATGGTGACCCTTCCCACCATACCTCAAGTTACTCTCTTACACCTGTTGTTATGTCTAGACAAGAATTGTCACCATATGTAGGAAAAATGTGTCTGAAGGCTAATATTGCTGTTAACTGTATAAGTGAACTGGTTTCTCCACAGGTGATGGCTTTTTAAAACTGTATATCATAGCTCTCTTTAAGGACACTGATTATTTAGATATCTCATTTATGGCTACAAACATGTACACCCTATACAATTTGTTTATATACACATAAGAACTTCGGAAGCAGCCTTTCTGCTGAGAAAACCCTTGGTCTCTCTCTGGTCACAAAAAATAAAAACATTCACCAACCCTAGCTCTAACAGATTTCACAGACAGCCCCATATATAGAACTCATATTTTCCAAGCAAATATTCTCAGGTTCATTAAAAGATGAAGTAGCAGATGATGGGAAAGGCTCTTGGTTGAAACCTTGAAGACCCAGAACCCCCAGTACTTGCCCAGATGGTCACATGGACTGCATCCAAACAAAGGCTCCTAGCAGAACCAATCAAAATCCACTGTGCATCTATTCCATCTGAATTTTTAGACTACATCTCGAACGATCCCCCAACAAGTATGGCCATTTTAGAGACTGTGGTCCAAAAGAGTAACTTCTCCATGCTCTTCATTCCCCTCCTTTTCTGTGAAAGAACTAGTAACTGAAATAGTACAGATACAAGTAGAAGATAACAACAGTTGGCTTTCCCATAAAGCTTCTTGTTTTAGGTGGTTGTCATCTAATTTGATAAAAGGTAGCTTTTTGGGTTGCAGTGGCCCAGGCCATCACGTTCTGCATGGAGGGGGGGGGATGTTGAGCCTTGTGGTGGCAGTTTTCTGCCTTCTGATCCCACTGTGGAATGGACTGCTATCAATAATACTGAAATACAGTAATAGTGATAAAGTTGAATCAGTTGGTCATGTTCTCCTATCTGTACTTGTTATCGGGATCTTCATATGGAGCTTTTATCACCTATTATCTGTTAATCTCCCAGGAGATCAGATGAGGATTATGTGCAGCGGTTACTATCTGACAATACCCCTTATATTACGAGACAAGTGGCCAAATTCTGGGCAGCAGCAATGGTTATTCCTAATCAAATGTTTGGTTAGATGATTTTAGATGGATATGTTTTTTATATAACTCTGTCTGAGGTTTTACTTATATTAAGGATACATGATGTTATTAACTGGAAAGAAGGAGTTGTTTTATCATGTTTTAATGGAATTTTATTACTCTGACTGACTTTACCAAACTATAATTATATGTATCTACTTTATATTGATTTGGTTTTACTGGTCTTTGACCATAATAAAGTATTCATTCAGTATTTGAGGGAGGAATCAAAATAGAGAGTGACAGTATAGCCACTTTTGTTTTGTTTTTTTGATGGAGTTGGAAGGTTTGGGGGCTTTTTACATAGTACAGTACTTGCAAAGCTGCTTTTCCTGGATGCTTCCAGTATTATAAAATGGTGGGTTTTTTTAAAATTATGTATGGTGGGGATCTGGAAGTCTTAAAATAAGCTGCTAGGGGTTGTTCTGTTCTGATATTCCTATGCTACCTTAGAGATGGAGTTCTTTGAACATTTGTCAAGGAGGAGACAGAAAGCTGGTAAGGATTTTGAAGGATTAGAAAATATGTTTCCTATAGTGAGACTTCACAGAGAAATGCTGCAGGATGGGTCTTTAAAACAAACTCTGCACAGTACCGAAGTGATGGGTTGTGTATTGCCCTGTGCTAACATGAACTGAAGAGGAGGTCTTGCAATGCCATCTTTAAAACAAACTCTGCACAGTACCGAAGTGATGGGTTGTGTATTGCCCTGTGCTAACGTGAACTGAAGAGGTCTAGCAATGCCAGCATGTTCTAATGTACAGTACAGCCTGTTCTGTAATTTTACAACAGGAATTTCTTTTTTTTCCCTATTCATTCCTTAGACTCAACAAAAAAAGGAACTCAAGTTGCAGTCCAAAACTCCTGAGTAACCCAAGGTTAAGAACCAGTGTTCTAATGTACAGTACAGCATGTTCTGTAATTTTACAACAGGAATATCTTTTTTTTCCCTATTCATTCCTTAGACTCAACAAAAAAAGGAACTCAATACCAATAAGTTTCAAGGCAGCTTAGAAATAATAATGATTATATTAACAATAACAGCAAAATTATTTAGCAGCACACTGTCAGAATGTCTCTTTGGCTTCAAGCTTTAGTTTCTCATTCTCACTGAGGAAACCCATACATGTCTGTTGTTGTTATGTGCCATCAAATCACATCTAAGTTATGGTGACTCCATTAGAGTTATCAAGATATGTAAGATATTTAAGGAGTGATTTTACAAATGCTATCTGCATTGAGTTTCTAGGCCATCTGGGGAAACCAGATCCCATATGTTAGCCAATTACTCCAAACTCTCTACCTGGACACCATAAATATCTATTCAGAAGTAATTCACACTGAATTCAGTGAATTCATTTTACCATACTCCCCCTGATAGATCAGGTTCAGAGCCTGGTACAGAAGTAAAAGAGTAAACTTTGAAGATGAATCAGTCCAGTGAGAATGTTGAATAATTATAGCCTGTGTCATGACTAAATTTAGGAGAGTGTAATTTTCAAGGAGGTATTTAAGTCACAGGTGGGGAACCATGGACCTTCCAGATGTTCTGTATTTTACTTCTCCTGTTTTATTTTTCACCACCATTGGTCATGCCGAATATGGTTTATGGGAACTAAAGTCCAAAGCAACTGGAGGGCAAAAGATTTCTCTATATGTAATATAAGATATCACTTTAATTTTAATGGGAAGTCTAGCTCACTTCATGGAATGGCCTCCCCCATGAAGCTAGACTGGCTCTCCTCTTTTTCCAGTGGCAGTTGGAAAAAAGCTGGGTTATTTTTTGTTTAGTTACATCAGGCTTTTAATGTTTACTATCTAATTTTAACATAGCTAGTTACCCTACACTTGCTGCCAAGATATCTTTTTAATTTGTTTTTAAATGCTTTTATATTTCTTAATTTGTTTTTGCATGATGACTTTAATATTTCCATGTGTAGTTGTTTTAATTGGTTTTTGTATATTGGTTTAATTCTGTCTGTGAGCTGCATTATTCCTACTGCTGGGGGGAAAGGTGGCATAGAAATGCAGTCACTCACTCACTCACTCACTCACTCACTCACTCACTCACTCACTGAATAGAAATGTCTCAGCAATTTAATATGTCGCTGTGGAACCAAAGTCCAGGGATTCAATTCCCTACTGTTTCACAAGCTGTGCAGTGCCAGAGCTCCTCCAGAAAAAGGGAATAGTAAGCCACTCCTGAGAACGTTATACCTAGAAAAATCTGAGAAGGTTCACTATAAGTCAGAATCGACTCTTCTTCTCCTTCTTCTTCAAAAATGCCAGGCATATTC